CCTGGCTCAGGGCTGAGATCCGCCGGCGCAGCCAGAAGCCTGAGGCGGGCGGCTGTGGGGCGCCCGCGGCCCGCGAGGTGCTCCTGGTGCTCAGCGCGCCCTTCCTGCGCTGCGTCCCCGCGCCGGGCGCCGGGGCCTCGGGGGGCGCGGGTCCCACAGCGGCGCAGCCCAACACCGCCGTGTTCATCTTCGAGCACAAGGCGCAGCACATCTCGCGCTTCATCCACAACAGCCACGACCTCACGTACTTTGCCTACCTGATCAAGGCGCAGCCGGACGACCCGGAGTCGCAGATGGCCTGCCACGTTTTCCGCGCCACAGACCCTAACCAGGCAAGACCCGGGCAACAAGACGTGGGGGCGGGCCCGGTCGTGTGGGTGGGGAGCTGGGCTGGAGGGGCAGGTTCCACTCTGAGGACCGACTGTGGTCGGGCTCTTCTGGCGCGCACGCTCCACGTGGCGCGCTGGAGCGCCCGCGCGCCCCCCTTCTGGGACCTGGGAGTAGGCGAGAAGGCGTGTGCGGGCAGGACGAGCTGCGCGATCAGGACGAGCTGCGCGCGGGCGCTCGGAGAGGGAAGGGAGGCCGAAAGCGGTGCTGGCACCGAGGAGGAGTTAGTGCGTCCGTGGAGGACGCGGGGAGAAATACGCGTTCTGGCAGGACGCGGTGTCAGACTGACTGGCGATCGCTTCCTTGTTCTTGCCGGTGTTTGCGTGTGCGCACCTGTGTGTGTAAGGGGGAGGGGGGCGCGGGAGAGGGCTGGGTTCTTAGATGCTCCTCAGTACTCAGTCTTCATCGAGTTGCTGGTCGCGTCTAATGCAGCAGCACCTGCAGGTCTTCTGTCCCCCGAGGCTATTTCGGAGCAGAACTTAGAGAAAAGTTACTGGATCCTATCAGGTTGTCAGCAAGTAGTATTTTGCGTTTGTGTGTGGAGTACAAAGAAGACTTTTGTAGTCCCCCCCACCCCCCACACGCACACTTTGGAGACAGAATCAATACATACTTGGGTGATGTAAAAATCAGGGCAGAAGAGGTTTCAAATGTCATTTAAAAATGATCTAAAATCATTTATAAGCGATTTCAGTACATTTTTCTTTCTAATATCTTTTTTTTCAGAGTTCACTACATGGAAGTATCCTGTTAGCAAACAATGAACTTTTACTTCCTTAAAAACAGGTGTGGTCATTATCTCACAGAGAGAGGAATCTAAATAAAGCTTTACAGCAGTGATTATGCTTTTGAAAACAGGCATGATTTATTTCTTTAATGTCAAGTTTTTTTGTTTTTCACTGTGTCAAAAGTTCTCAAAATACTGTTTTAAAAATTGTTATTTAATGTTTGCAAAGTACTAAAGGTTCTCTGGGAAAAAAATGTTCTCTAAATAGAAATAAAGTTTCAGGTTGGGCCATGTGGCCTACTTTTGGTAGCTGGGACATTAATAATAATCAGAGGAGAACAATCCTAAAAATAAGGCTTTAGTTTTCTCTTATTTCATAATTCTAGTGTCTGTAATTGAAAGACTTTGTTCAGCAGTCTTTCACAATAGGCCTGTAGCTGAGTTGAAGAAAATAAAAGTTTATTGTGTTAGATTTCATCAGTTGCTTTGTAAGTAGTTTAATATCTTTTTAAAAAAAATTTAATTATTGCTGGCAGGCTTGTGTCGGGCACCAGAGAGAGGGAGAAAAACAGAAACCCGCCATCCCCACCACCACCACCATGGGACCTAGTCAGTCACAATCCTTTTTTCTCCATTTCTCCATCCTGTCAGCTCCCTGGGCATGAATGCACCTGCACCTGACTGTTTGTCTGGCTTCAGGGCTGGGGTTTGAACAGTCGTGAGCATTGTGGGATCCAGGCTTAGCTGCTTCACTAAGGAGCTAGCCAAGTAGTTGAATATTTTTTTAAAAAGTTTATTTAGTTTTATTTATTCATTCATTTATTTTAATTTGACCAGAGACACAGAGAGAGGGAAAGTAATATTTTAATAAATAAAATCTCAGGGTAAAGAGAGTAATTTTAATTTGTGTTCATTGTTATAATTATGGTAAAATATATTCCTACAAATTATCTCAAAATCCTAACCATGATTAATTGAGTTTCATTTTATGTTTATTTGTCCAAAATTTATTTTTAACTTTGACATATGTTGCTGGAATTGGGAAGTTTCTGACAGTTATCACCATCTTTATCATAAAGTTTCCTAGTTCAGGCAGAAAGGAGGAGCAAAGGAATTTAAGGAATGTTTTGCGACTATTGGTAGTTTGTGTTGAAGTTATTTTTTTCAGATCTTGTACATGACAAGATTGCTAGTTTCATTCTTTCTCTTTCTTCTTTTCTCTCCCCTCCTTCTCTCCCTTCCTTTCTTTCTTGTTGCCAGAGGGCTGGTACACTGGCTAGAAAGAGACAGGGAAATGGAGAGACTGAGGAGCACCCTTCAAGTCATGCCACACTC